TATCGTGCAGCTCTATGTTCTTCTGTATTTTGTTCCGTATCGTGCAGCTCTGTTCTTCTGTATTTTTTTCCGTATCGTGCAGCTCTATGTTCTTCTGTATTTTGTTCTGTATCGTGCAGCTCTATGTTCTTCTGTATTTTGTTCCGTATCGTGCAGCTCTATGTTCTTCTGTATTTTGTTCCGTATCGTGCAGCTCTATGTTCTTCTGTCAGTAACCCGTGTCTGAGTGGGCGACTGTGGCTGACTGCTTCTGTACCTGCAGGAAAATGTTTCTGTGATGCTCGAAAATCTGAAGAGCATCAAGAGCAAACACTTGATGCTGAAAAGTCAGGTGAAGGAGATCAGAGAGGCACAGAAAGAGTCCATGGAGTCCATCAGAACCAACCTGAGCAGGGCCATGGAGCTCATCCAACACTGCCAGCAGACGTCTGATCTTCAGGTGAACAAACTTTTTTAATGCCAGTTGGCTGCGGCAGCCATCTTGAATGGATTGACTGGTTTGCTGACGAGCTTGTACAAGTTGTTAATTCTTTATCTGTTTAGAGCTAGGGCGGCACGGTGGATCAGTTGGTAGAACTGCTGCCTCTCAGCAAACAGGTTGCCAGTTCAAATCCTGTCCGGGGGTCTTTGTGGGTGGAGTTTGCATGTTCTCTCCGTGCTGCGTGGGTTTCCTCCCACAGACTAAAAACATGTATGTTAGACTGACTGTAACTCTAAATTGTCCCTGGGAGAGAGAGAATGGTTGTTTGTCTCTATGTGTCCCTGTGATGGACTGGAGACCTGTCCAGGGTGTCCCCGCCTCTCGCACAGTGACTGCTGGACATGGGCACCAGTGACACCAGTTACCCCAGTGACCCAAAAAGGAAGAAGCGGGTAAAGATGATGGATGGACGGATGTTTAGAGCTAAAACACAAACCTTTACATAAAACACTGATGCAACATACACTTCATCAGTTGATTATGTGCATGTATATTTATTTTTTCACTTGTTCTTTAACTCCAGGCTGAGCCAGTGACGGAGTCAGAGCACCAGTCAGCAGTCCTTCTGGGGTCAGAGGTCAGTTGCACAGTAAGCTTCGTGTGGTTCTGGTGACTAGTGCTGTGAGTTTTTACTGCCCTCCAAGTTATGACAGAAAACAAACTAATGAGCGGGTGCAGGCCCACAGAACACTGCGTTCACAAACAATGAACACCAAGAATAAAGTTTCCTCTAGGATTTATTTGAACCGTGCTGGTGGGCTGCCTGCGGGTGGGTGGGGGCCGTGGTGTTCTTGATCACGACCCTGATAATACGACTAGAGAGCAACAACATCATTTTAAAGTGAATGTTGTTGAACATTTATTCAATATATTCAGTGTACACGTTAAAGGACAGGTTTAGTATGTGATGGCAGTGTGCAGCCTGGCTGACAAGAGCTCTAACACCCTGTTGTGTGGGGGCCATCATGCTGAGTAGCACCCTGCTGCCAGGTGCTCCCCTGCTGCCTGTCCCTCAGCTCTGTCTTCACCTACACATGAAAACAATTCAAACCATGTTTGACTGACTCACTGTTACTATGAACCGAGCATCTCCCCCTGTTCTCTCTCGGTTCACAGATGATACGTGCACTGTTGATGCAGTGGCTGGATCAGGCATGAGTAGAACTGTCCCCGTTCATCAGTTTGGGATGTTTCATCATCTTCATCATGTTGAGCTGGTCCATATCTGAAACACATCATGTGTCACTGGTCAGGTTTCAATCATCTCCTGGATAATTCCCCTTGTATTTAATAGTAATGTTTGATTCTCACCTTACTGGTGGGGGACAGCTATGGGCAGAACTTGGTTATTTCACTCCAGTTTGGGTCCCAGACACATTCTCTGTTCTTACTTGTTTCTTCTCTAGGGCTGGGTACCTTTCTAAAAAAATAGGTGTTGGTTCCTGGACGGTTCTTTTTTTTGGTACCAATTTTATAATTACTATTCTAACAAGAATAAAGTTACTTTACACATTACAGTACAAATCTTGAGTTTTATTTTTTAACTTTGGTATTTTTCCATTCCAAGCAGTTTTCTTACATGAAAATAAACAAATAATTTCCAGTTCAAAGACCAGTTACAAACCAGTGACATGTCAGTGTCTAATGCTCACTGCTTCACACTGAGGACCGTTTCACTGAACAGATCTTCTTCAGAAACATCAGCATGTCTGTTTTCTCTGGACACAAACCAGCTGCTCCTGGCTGACATGAGAACAAAACATCAACAATAACATGGTTGTTCTTATTGATCAAAAACATTATCTAGGCTGAGAGATAAAAGTTGAACTGGTCAACAACATCCTTTACAGTTTAACTTACCTCCACCATGCAGCCTCCACTGTAGAAAAAGGCAGTGGCCCCCACCTCACTTTTCTTTTGTGAGTCTGTCCTCACATCAGGGTCAGAACCTCCTGTGAGGAGAACATTAACATTAATGAACTGTTTAAGCAGCTGATCCGATGGATGAGCACAGTTTTAGAAGCTAAGCTTCATCTGCTACTGTCAACCTTTAGTTAGCTTCTGAGTTTAGCTACGTAGATAAAATAAATTTACACACTAATATGTTAAAGTTAGCGTTACATGGATTCTAGTTTAATTCACCACGATGCACATGTTAAGCTGCAGTAACGTTAACAAACGTAAACTCATCAGCTGAAACTCAGACACAGCTCCGTCCTCGGAGTTCTTTGATGAAGAGGAGTCGGGTCGTGGAGATGATGAATCAGGACGTTCAACACTCACAGGCTGACTTTAACGCTGGGGGGGGGGAGGCTGCTGTCTCCCTTGAAGACGAACATGGAGCAACTTTCTGCTCATAAATTGAAGCTGTTAAGAGGGTTATCTGCATAACGGAGGAAATTATAAGTGATTAAATCCAATATATTAGTATCATAAATATTATTCTATTTAGTAGACCCCCTTTGCCCCGTAGTAAATTTAAGTTCATTTTGACCGCCTGATTTGCTCCTTAGGATCAAAGGACACAACTTTTATAGACGTATGTCGTTCTAGCCAGTTGTAATCCTACTAATCAATTTTTCACTATATTCCCCAGATTCTTTTACCCTGGTTGGTTTAATTTTACCGACTTGTTTGATTTCCCTGATTGATTTAATTGACTTCCACCTGTAATAATTTTGAATCTTGCAAGAAAATAAATAAAACATAGTCTTATCTCCTCCTGAGGGATGCGTTCGTTCTGTTCCTCGTCATTGTCTCAGAACCAACAGTAAGCACGATTTCAGCTCTTCCTGGTGGATCCGAGATCAGATGTTGAGGGTGACTTGAAGGATCAAAATGTTAGGATAAATTACTGTTATCTTTATGATAGCTCTATAAATAAATATGCCACACAGGAGAGGTAGATAATCTTCTTAAACTCAGGTTTAATATTGCATAGGTTGTAATCATAGGTTGAAATACAAGCAGGCAAAATTTTACACGTCGCTTCGTCTGTAAGTGTGTTCACTGACACACAACGCTTCGTCTGTGTGTTCACTGACACACGACTCTTCGTCTGTGTGTTCACTGACACATGACGCTTCGTCTGTGTGTTCACCGACACACGACGCTTCGTCTGTGTGTTCACTGACACATGACGCTTCGTCTGTGTGTTCACCGACACACGACGCTTCATCTGTAAGTGTGTTCACCGACACACGACGCTTCGTCTGTGTGTTCACGACACACGATGCTTCATCTGTAAGTGTGTTCACCGACACACGACGCTTCGTCTGTAAGTGTGT